CCCCTCTCCCTCGGCAAAATAAATGTACTTTCCCTAATCGGCCTTTTAAAATGGCTTTATCGATAAACTTTGAGTTTGCAATAAAATGATTTCAAATTCTCGCTTGCAAATAACTCAGTGCTTTCTTTTTTATTTAAAAAATTCAATATCATAAAAAATGGAATCAATATTAAGGATACACTGAAATTATATGCTGTCTTGTTTAGTTGTTTCATATACGCAAAGGCCGTCGGGTTTTAAAGTTCAGGTTCATTATAAAATCAATATTAAAAAAAAAGTTACCTTCGAATTCGTTAACGTCGGCTCCCTTCTTTTAGCCGATTCTTTCGCAGTTTCTTTTTGAGAGAGCTTTTGAAATTTACAAAATCTTGCAAAAATGCGAGCAAAAATGAAATATATTTGCAAGAAATTTATCAATCATCAAATCAAGAAATGTTTGCTATTTCGCTGTCGTCATGCAGTCGTTATAATGCAAAAATTGCAAACTTTAAATTGGACCAATCAGTGTCCGCTATTCATGACAGTCCGCCATATTTTTGAGACCAGTGAGGATGACCACCCACCGAAACATCGTTGGTGAGCAACGCCCGCGATATTTGATGAACTTTAGACTTCGCTAATGGTTTCGTTTCGCCGGGTGTAAATAGCCGGGGGAATTAGTACCCTCGCACGGCGCTTTGCGCCGTCGGCTCGGGGACTAATTCGTTATTGTCATAAGATGACCATGTACAGATGTCCCGAGTTAATAATGAATTCAAGATGGCGTCAGGCAAATGTGCATTCGTCGATTTAGCTGCTAGTAAAAACGCTTTGGGCGCCATGTTTACAAATTTGAGAACAAAATGGTTATACGGCACTAACCTGAAAACTGGATCGTGTCGGATTTACTGAATTAGCTCTACGTGTTATTGAGTCTTAGAATGTTTAAAACATTAGAGTCTGATGACCAGATCTGTGGCAGCCATCTTTGTGTGAACTCATCTCTTATTCGCGCGCAAATTTAACGGGGACGAAAGACCGCTGTTGATAAATTTCTATTTAAACAATATTTATCCTGTTCCACCAATAACCAGAAACAATGAGAACCTCTATTAACATGTCAACAATTAACATCACAATAGGCTTTGTGGTAGTAACACCAGTATGTCCGCCACTGGCTTCATTTATGCACAGCCGATTTCGCTCTCCATGTATAGAACTCAATCGTCCGTCGTGAAATACGATTTTTATTTCACCCGGCTACTGTACGTAAATCCCTTTATTATTTAGTAGAGAGTGATATACTGAAAAATACACAGTGATATATTTTCCATATCTTCACTAGTGAAGATATCGATCACGTGACAATTTGCTTTTGTGCGTGAAATTTCACAATTTTTTGCTTGGAATTTTATAATAAACAGACAATTACACGGTGGTTTGAAGATATGACTTTTATTTTCTCGTGTTAAAAGAAATATTTTACTCACTCGCTGCGCTCGTTCGTAAAATATTGTTTTTTACCACTCGAAGATAAAAGTCATATCTTCGCGCCGCCGTATACTATCCTCTATATATACGTACATAATAAGACATAACAAGATTTTGCCAGAAGGGTCTAATATTATATCGATGTTTACCAATTACCATGATGTCTCATGTGTCGGCAAGAAAACTTGACACCAGAAATTTTTCCGAGAAATTGCCAATAGCGTGACTACTAAGGGTAGTTGTACCCGGCAAAAGCTAGTGATTGTTCTGGACGGCCCCTGAGCTAAGTTATAGGCTTTTTGGAAGGGTTTTTTTAGAATAAATGACAATCGATAATTCTACTTTTCTGAACGTGATGATCTAGATACATTTTATGAAAACCAAATTACTAATTACAATTATAAAGTTGTGGGTACCCGATCCCTCTCCCCCTTCTCCTGATCCTCTCAATAGTGGATCAGCGGCATCCTTTTCAGTAATAAAGAGTATTTGTAATAAAAATTAAATTTAAAAAAAAATTAAGTTATAAGGGGATATGGCAACAAAAATTAAGTTTATCTTATTTGAAATAACTTTTAAAGTTATGTATGAAGACCCTTTACAACGTTTTCGTACCTTCCCTAGTATTCGAAATATTTTGACCGCGATCTCGGTTTTATAATTGACCTAATTAACTGAGTTTTTGATGACGTCAAAAGCAGGGTAAACTTGTTAAAACTGTACTTGCCAAAACTTGCTAAAAATTTCTTCGAAAAGTTTCTTAAAATGTTGTGAGTTAATTGAGTACTAGAAAGACTTCTGAAAATCGAGTTTCATATTGATAATGACATGTGGTTTGCAAGATAAAAATTTCGCTTTTTACCCTACTTGTGACGTATACATATCCAATGCATATCCAAGATGGCGGAATGCACGCTGCTTTTGATGAAAATAAGTCGATTTATTTCAAGAACCAAGCAAGATACGGAATAATTGTAAAGGAAGTTTACATATCATTTTAAATGTTCTTTCAAATAAGACAAACTTAATTTATATTACCATATCCCTTTAAATTAAGAACTTTTAAAATTATATACTCAGTCTCAGACCTTTTACAAAGTTAATCTCATATCTTGCTTGGTTTTCGAAACGTTTGGACCAAAAACAGCATACAGTCCCCAATCTTGGTGTTTTAATTGACCTTATTAGTTAAGTTTATGTTTCTCCGTATGTGCATGACCGAAATTCTTCGAAAGGTTTAATTCTTAAAATGAGAATTGAAAAGGCTTTGGAAAATCGAGTTTCAGATAAATATGACATGTTATTGTACATGGTTTGCAAGGTAAAAATTCGCTTTTTACCCATCTTAATCGGAATAAGTCGATCTATTTCTAAAATTAAGAAAGATGCGAAATAACAGTAAAGAATCTTAGTTGATATATCATTTTATAACAACTTCTTTCAAACAAGGCAAACTTAAGTTTTATTGCCATTACTCTTTAAAGCCGGCGATTCGTCTCAGTGCATTATGCTGCAATAATCTGAAAAGGTAAATAGGCTTACCATTTGTACCAAGCTGTTCAGCAAAAGTGCATACTTCCTCTGGAGTTATGTTGTAGGGATTCTTAGTTGTGTTTGTTCCTTCAATGATTGCCAACACAGCAATATTTACCAAGACAAACCAAAGTGTTCTTCGTACCAAATTTTTGATCATGTCGACTAATAAAAAAATATCGTTCGCTGAAGACTGTATGAAATCCGGTCCAATTGGTCAATTCGGGCGGGTAGGCACTGGGTATGAGGTTGGTTAAGTTTCGCTCATGTAAATTTGAAGTTTTACCTTAAAACAATACGATATGCGCTATAAATAGTTACTTGTTTACGGGTTAGGGTAAAGCGCGGATATGGACGGACAGACGGATGGTAGGGTAAAATGCGGACGGATGGGAAGGTGAAATGCGGACGGACGAATGAGAGAGTAAAATTTAAGCCACAAGTACACGCCGAAAGGACCTATCGCAATCTATTTCCGACGTGTAGTGTTTCAATATTCATACACTGCGTTTTGTTGTCTCATAAGTTATTGTAGAGGGCGATAATACAAAGTTTGCTTTGACAACCACAAATTTGCTTTAATATGGCCAAAGTGGGCAAGGCCTTGGTAAACGCTGGTCATGTGACTCGAAAATACTCCCAGAATCTGGGAGTATTTCTGTATATCATTAAAACTCCCATTGGCAGTAAGGGGAGTGATTACTAAAAATCATGATTTCTAAAATATGGCGGTAGAGTTATGTTTCTGTACTATTTGTGATGACTTCCATCAAGTAAGAGGTGCAGTATGAATTTGAAAATGTCTAAAAGTTGATTGTTACAAATTATTCAACAGATTCCCATGAGTTTATTTAACACTCTTGCGAATATCGCAATCACCCAATACGGTCGCCTTTAATTTGTTACAGTAATAGCTGTACTGCCTGTACAATATTTTTCGAAGGCTATTTATGTATTATACAGGGTGTATTAATGGTGGAATGACCACAAATTTTTTTTTTTTTAAAAAAAGCTTTCAACAAAATTTAAATTGCATGGATGTTATAAGCACAAAAGAGTACGAGTATTTTTATGGTCATTACCATTACCATTGCCATGGTTACCAGGATGAAGTGTCAAAACCCGTACTTTGAGCCAAAACGCCAACAACCATAACTTGATTAGTTTTTAAGCAATGTCTATGAAACTTTGGGGATAAAATCATCTTTAATATGTCTATGCAATGAACTAAAAGCTTTTTGATCAGAGAAGTGGCTATTAATTTATTTAGTCAATAGTATACATACTCGGAATTAGAATACATATTTCAAAATAATACAAAATCTGGTAAAGCATATCCCACCATTCTAGTTCATTGCATAGCTTTACATATGTGGAATATTCACTGAAAATTTGAGTAAAATCTACCAAATACTTTTTGAGTTATCAATGTTACGAGTTTACAAAATACCCGAAAATTGATATTAGAGAAAATACAGTTTAAAGTTTGTCTACCAAGTTTCACAGCTACATATACCTCTGCTTAGCTTCAAGAACCACTAGAACTCTCCTGCTCCATATTTTAGTCCCTCTGCTTCTTGGTTCTTGTCCTCCTTTTTCTTTTTTAGCCCTCTGATCACCTTTCTTCTCTTTTTAGCTTTGGGCGTGCTTATATATTGTGCGAGCGATACACGAGACTTGTCTTCAGCATGACAGGCAAATTCAGTGTACTTGCCAGCAGGAATATTCATTGACTTGAAAAGTTCAACAATTGCATTGCAACCAATATTGAAGTGTAAGACAGCATCATACACCACAAACTCTAGGCAGTCTCTGTGAACAATAACTTCCTTGGGAATTCTTTGCCAAATTAGAGCGTTCAGAGCCTCGTTCTGATTTTGCGTTTTTCCATGCAAGCACTTTTCCAAAAGACTGTTATCAGTAAGTCTCTGGTACACAGGCTTAACCAGCTTAAATATTCTCTTTGGAAGACCAGGACCATGTTTGTATAATTTTGTTCCATTTGCTTTGTCTTGTTGGTAACGACACCAGCTATCACTACAAGGTGGGCAATGGAAGGTATGGTAAGGGTTCGCATCACTTGAAGCACAATGGAAGAGACTAGCATGGATGGCTTTTGCCATCTTACCCAGATCTACAACATTGGACCTAAGAGCAATGCCATAATAATTCTGTAGCTTATCTATCATGGCATTTGTCAGCTTGCCCTTACCACCCAGTCCAGGATTATCTTTCTTCAATTTTCGGAGTGCTGTTCCTACTCTTTTCTGGACATGGCCGATATACTCTCGTTTCTGCACTTCAATGCCAGGATAAGTATTCTTTACTTCAGAGAAGCTTTTACCATCCCCATCACCATAAAAATTTGTGTATCGCAGATTATTCTCTTCCACTGATCTTTCAAACATTCGTAAAGCTCCTTCTGGTTCCATAGCCGGAGCAGATCCTCGGTAATTTGCCTTACTCTTAGTGTGCTTGGCTTTCCATTCTTGATATTCTTTACTACTTTTGTCCAGCTTTTCATAGTACTTGCACTCTTTACAGTGGCTGGTTAGGGCTTCAACGTCGAGAACGTTCCCCGTCTCCATGGAGATAATGGTAACACATCCATTCAGTGAAGAATGTCCCCTTCTCTGCCAAGAGCCATCACATGAAATTCCACAGTCGACAGGAATAGTGTCATCAGAATCAACAGTTTTTTTCTTAGCACATACTTCTTCTGCGGCAGATTTCATACATGCTTTTGCAACTTTCTTGACATGTTGGGTAATAGTCCGTGAAGACTTTCGAAACGACTTCGCTGTCAATGGTGATGGCCTGTTCATAATAGAACAGAACTTCGAGGCTCCCGCATGATCATTCCCTATTCTCCGCATGCCATAAACTAGACGCTTACTTATTCGAAGCTTTTTTCTGTTCGCTTAGAAGTCCAAAACAAATGCTTCCAACTGCAGTTTTGGCAACATAAACGAAGCTTTGAGGCACAGCATTTGCGACTTACATCATCTTCTTCAAGGGAAAGACCAACACAGTCACACTCTGGGCATTTAAACAGAAAAAACACATCAGCAATAAGTCCCATATCACAAAGTCTGAAACCAGTAATACCTTTATCACTATTATCCAACGTTTTACCGTTAGATCTTTCATTGATAAGTTGCTGCAACTTTCCAAAAGAAGCTGAATTTCCGGAATCCATGTGCTCATGATTTGTCTCGGCTTCCACTGAAGAAATCTTCTTTCCAGCGTCTTTTTCTGGTATTTTTACATCGCCCCGTTCTTCATTATCAACACGAGGACGTTTTGTAAAGCGATTTCCAGAGAATTGCCGTTTATTGCGCCTTTTAGAGGCAAATTTAGACATCTTATTTTTGAAAATATCTTCGAATATAAAACGACCTTCGATTTTATTTTGCTAATATGGCGTGCTGGAACCGGAGAGGCCTGGGAATAGTTTAAAATAGAGCCTAGTCCTTCATAGCTACTCCACATTTATTTTGGGTTAATTTGGGGCAATAACTTTGAAGCTATTGGCCAAAAGCACAGGGTAAACAAATATGTTTCCATGGTAACGAAGCAACCAACGTCTAATAATCCTAAGAAAACAGCCGTTATATGTATAATATAAATGTAAAACAACATAGGATCAAAGTTTCATACTGTAGGACATATATGAGGGGGAATTCACAAACAAGGGGGAATTTACAAATTTTTTTTTAAATTTTGGGGGTCATTCCACCACAAAAACTGAACAGATTTGAAATTGCTCTCAATTTCTCAATATATATATATATATATATATATATATATATATATATATATATATATATATATATATATATATATATAACAAAGGTATTGATATTTTGGGTCTTAGTGAAACGCACCTAACTGATCAGATACCAACAGATGAACTGATTGTCGAGGGCTTTGATTTCGAGCGAAAAGATCGGCGTTCGGGATTTGGAGGTGGTGTTGGCGTGTACATAAAGCAAGATGTGCCATACCGCCGCCGTTATGATCTGGAGGCAGAGCATGAAAACATTGAATGTATCTGGATCGAGGTCTTATTTCCGAAGTCCAAAGGTATTATGATTGGTAACATTTATAGACCCCCTGATACTTCCAAGTATTCGGATAGTGATTTTAATGTTAAACTGGATGAAGTTTTGAATGCTGTGTCTGATGAGAAAAAGGAAATTTTATTACTTGGTGATCTAAATTGCAACTTTCTTCAGTCTGCCTGCAAAAGACAGCTGAAGCAAGTATTTAGTATGCATGGCCTTAAACAAATTATTCAAAATGCCACCAGAATAACAAAGTCGTCTGCATCGTTAATTGACATTGTTCTCTCTTCTAATCCCGAAAGAATAATTAAGTCAAAAGTTATTTCGGCTCATTTGAGCGATCATGATATGGTTGGAATCACTAGGAAAATTAATGCATCGAAATTTAAAGCTAGAATAATTACAACTCGGTGTTTTGCTCGATATGAACGTTCTGCTTACCGTAATGACGTCAAAAATTCCTCATGGGATAACGTTTATGAGCAGTCTGATGTGAACGATGCATGGTATGAAATGTATAACATTCTCCTGAAAGCTATTAACCGCCATGCACCCCTAATTCAAAAGAAAGTGCGTGGGAGGGATTGCCCATGGTTAACAAATAACTTGCGGAAAGCAATGCTTGAGAGGAATAGTTTACTCAAAGTAGCTAGAAGATCGAAGTCTGCTTCTGATTGGGCTGCATATAAAAGAAAGCGTAATCAAGTAAATAATTTGCTACGAAGAGAAAAGAATTCATTTAACCGAAAACTGTTATACGACAACAGGAATAACCCTAGAAAATTCTGGAAAACCATTAAACAAGTGTATCCTAATAAGCCTACTACTGTTAATTCATCTCGCGCTTTCAACCTTAATGATGATGGTATGACAACCTGTAAAAGTAAAATATCAAATGCCTTTGGCTTGTTCTTTTCCTCCATTGCTCAAAAACTGAAAGAATCATTAAATACTTTGGGAAACTCCATCCGGCAGAAAACGGATCAAGAAATACCGCCTTGTAATAGAATTCCTGACCAAGTTTTTCGGTTTGAGGAAATTTGTCCATCTCAGGTATTGAAAGCTCTGAATAAGCTAAAAAGTACCAAAGCAACTGGTCTCGATGACGTCCCTCCTAGTATGATTAAGGATGCATCTCAGTATATTGCTGCACCCCTAGCTTATATCATTAATCTATCATTGTCTTCTGGGATATATCCTGCTCAATGGAAAAACGCTAAAATTATACCAGTCTATAAATCTGGCAGCGTCTCAGAGTTGGACAACTACCGTCCAATCTCAATTCTACCCGCTATCTCTAAAATTGCGGAGCGCCTGATTCACGATCAGCTGGCAAAATTTTTGGAAGACTCAAGTCTGTTATCACCTACCCAGTTTGATTTTAGATCTAAGTACTCAACTGGTCTTGCAGTTACCTACTTTACAGATTCAATCAGGAAAGAAATGGACCGTGGAAAGCTAAGGGGGGCAGTTTTTATAGACTTCCGTAAGGCATTCGACACGGTCGACCATGCTGTTTTAATTAAAAAGATGGAGATGCTTGGTGTTCGTGGTGTCCAGCTTAAATGGTTTTCAGACTATTTATCAAATAGACAACAAGTTGTAATCTATGATAATTATAGATCGAATAATTATCCGGTTTCTTACGGCGTTCCTCAAGGATCCATCCTGGGGCCTCTTCTGTTTTTGATATACATTGATGACCTTTCCAAGGTTTTAAAACACTCTAACGTTATCATGTATGCAGATGACACCGTTCTCTATTTCTCTCATGAAGATATTAAAAATATTGAAGCTGTTTTGTCTGATGACATGGATGCAGTTGCACAATGGTTGCAGAGGAATCAGTTGGTGATTAATCTTAAAAAGGATAAGTCGGAGTCTATGGTTTTTGGTACAGCAAAACGTCTTGCAAAGGATGGAAATTCATCTATGTGTATCCAAATTGGAAGTGATGTAATTAGAAGTACCACTTCATATGTATATCTCGGTGTGAGGTTAGACCCAACGCTTAACTTTGGCCAGTATCTGCACAAAACCTTCAAGAAAACGTCAAGTAAACTGAAAATGCTCAAGAAGATACGTTCTTCTTTGACAGTCCAGTCTGCTCGTATGATTTATCAGTCCATGATTGTTCCATTAATGACATATTGTGATATGGTAACTTTAAATCTACCTGGATCATGGTTATCAAAGTTTGTCAATTTGGAAAATCGGACAAAGAAAATTATTGCAAATGGATTAAGCATTGAAAACAATGATTTAAATATACGTGACTTTTACTCGACACGCATTTTTAACGCGGTTATGGTGGTTTTTAAATCTTTAAATGGTTTATCATGTGAACCATTTAATGACTATTTTCAAATTATGAGTCATCAACAAAATACCCGGAATAACGATTATTGTCTGCGACTACCGAAAGTCAAATTGGAAGTTGCCAGGAAAGGGTTTTATTTTCAAGGAGCTATGGCTTTTAATAAACTGCCTTTACATGTCCGCCAGATAAACTCCATTGTACATTTTAAAAGTGCTCTTAAGCAAATGAACAGTTTTTAGACATTAAGGTTACAGGACACCCTTTTGCCAGTTTTGCGGAAAATCGTTACTGCACGCTCAGTATCAATCCAATTTTCGTCAAATTTTCACCAAACGTTCTCCAGTGCATGCAAAATATGGTAAAGTTGTAAAATTAACAAACAATAAAATAATGTAAGAATTATTTAGGAAAATCTTAAATCGCGGTACCATTACGCTTTTGAGTTGTGCTCGTGCTGGTTTTAAGTTATATTTATGAAAAAATCATTTTTATACAGTAAAATAGTTGTTCTAAAAAATTGTGTTTGGAAATTTTTGTTTATTTCGTCATTCCGCTGACATGGCGATTTCTTTGACGACTTGAATATATTTCTGAATTGTTTGAGTTAATTGCTCTTTATTTTTAAAATATCCAAACTTAAAAAAAAGCCGAACACAATTTTGAAACTGACGTCTTTAGCTATGTCCTGTGAAAATTTGAGAAAAATTGGTTAAAACCCACAGGAGCACAACTCGTTTGAAAATCAGTAATTACCGTAAACTTTTTCGGGAGAAAATTGAATTTGAATATTACATTTCAATGTTTTTCTTATTCCAGCGAAATGTATTTTATTAAATAACTCTGCGAGTTTTCAACATTTTTCGTTCAAACTAGGTCAGATAGTAGAACTAGTCTAATGCTTTCATGGAAACCAATAAAAAAATTTTAGGCAAAATTAACACTCAAAGGTGTTCTGTAACCTTAAGAATCATTATATGTTTAGTATTGTATGTACAGTATAGCGTATTAGCATTTTTATCTATATATATATATATATATATAGTAAGATACAAGTCGCACTTGACTTTTTTACATCGGTGCAAAGATACCAAACGACTACCGAAGTTTCTATGTTCGAGACCACCGATTGACCACCCGAAGGCCTGGAAAATTGCGGAGAAGACGGGATGGGCGTATTTACGAATGTTGATAAGCAGTTGCCACAATCGGTTATGCCACATCCGTGACGAGTCAGTTATGCTGAATGAACAGATCGAGCAAATGTTGGACCCACCATCGCTGGATACTCTAAAGAAAGCAATTCAAAGCATTTCCCCTGGTTCACAAAATTTGAGTTTGAGAAATCTTTTTCATTATTCTACCTGTAAGTACCCAAAGAAGCTATATATATAAAAAACTAGATACTAATGGCTGTTTGGCGAAATTGAGAGCAACTTCAAATCCGTTCAGTTTTTTTTATACACCCTGTATATTACATATTTTAGTTAGCTGAATTTGTAGTTTAAATATTGAGAAACACATGGCCAGACTATGGCCTATGTAATTCTCCGAATCTCAGCAAAGTTCTACTCTCACAATATTTGCGATATTAATTAATTTAGCGCTGCGAGATCGAAATGTTTACAGTAACTACAGTCTGCAGCAGTCAAACACGAAATCTATATTTACATTTAATGACGTGAATTATGTAAATGAGCCATTAATAAGTGGTCAAGCTATTGACAAAGCTAAAATCTGATAAACCTGAACGTCTTCAACTGCAAGGATATTTAGTCAAACATCAGTTTCAGCATTTATTCAGCATTATTTAATGTTAATGAGTATTTTTAATATCCATGACAACTGCAGCTGGTCAGAGACAGCTCAAAGATTTTTCAGTGAAAAGCGGTCTAGCACTCTTTATTAAAAACCTGCCCCCAAATCGCAAAATTTCATTATTTTGTTCCCTTGTCCCTACATTTATACCTTTTGTGCCAGCACGAGATCTTTTCCAAATTAAAATTGCCCAACTCTGCAGTGTGGCTTGTAACCTTGTTGCCATAATTATTTTTTCTGACGGCTTCAGCACCAGACGGAGATGGGGCCATATTTCATTTATTTATCCCTTACCTTTCACCAACTTTTTTTATTACATTTATTGAACAATTTTGAAGTTTTCTAGATTATTGAAAATAAATTTATGGAACAGCAGCTGAAATCTGAATAATTTATATAGTAAAAGAAGGTGTAGCAAAACAATATCGTAACTGACATACAGCTGAGTAAACACGGGAGACGAGGATATACAGCTATTAATATTTTCCATATCTTTGCCAAAGCAAATTAATCATGTTATATTTTACTATACTATACTTTACTGATCATTTACATTCGTGGTGCATGGACTGGTGGTCCAAGTTAATAGCCTTTATACGTTCAGTATGAGTGTACATATTGTTTGGAAATAGATTTAGCTGACGCTTTTTTATAAAATTGCGAGTCGACAAGTAAATTTAGTACAAAACAACATAGCCATAGGATTAAACAAAGGCTTACAAAGCCTTGGAATTATCGACATGAATTAATACTTGTTTTAGATAATTCTGTTAGCAGGCTATAAATTTTAGTTACCTTTCGCTTTGTGTCCATGGAATGTGGGTCATTTTGATGAATAGGGATTTATAAACAAGCGTTGCCGTTGGCCGATTGTCTATCTAGCCGAACACAAAGACAGTTGCACGAGTTTATTTCCTTTCTAATTGTAATTGTAGTCCTCTAATTTAAAACATATTGAATTCTGAGTGTTCTTAGCCATCTTAGGCTTGAAATACAGAACTATGTAGATGTCTTCAAAATGTCTTCTGCGAAGAACCGGCCACGTACGAGGAACTGAATCGGTTCGCATCACTGATCAGTGGCACAGAGTCAGTGGTTCGCATACGGCAATCGTCTGATTTACTGCCTTTGTTTTGGCGTATCTTTGGCAGTTTGGATTTTCCTTTATACAGTATATCGCATTACAATCCGATCAGAATGCATTCACTGTGAAAAATGATTTACTCAGCCACTCCTCCCTAAGTAACATACAGGGCGCTAATTAAAAACACCCCAGATTCTGGGGTGTCACGTGACCAGCCTGTACCAGGGTCTCTGCTGGAGGGTGTTACGGAGGGAAGTCGAAGTAGAGAGCCTGGCTTGCGAGGTTGAATTTTGTGTTGTGTGGACAACGCGTATTTCGTTTCTTGATGTCTGCAGTCCCTCCTTCCGTTCTAAGGAGGGCCTTTCAGGGCCTAAGGAGGGCCGGATATTCAAAAATATTTCCGGACATATCATAATTTTTGCTATCCTGGTTGCCAGAGGTTTTCGTATCTTTCGCCTTATTCCCGCTCGTATTTATTTTATACGAGGCGAAGAAAACCTCTTGTGGCACGCGATATAATCTCAATTCCAATCGCAAAACCGATTTTATATTTTGTGACGTGTTTTAAACTTCCGGGTTTGTCATGCTACCAAAATAGCTTTCTTCAGACTGTTCGGCAGCCTTGTGTGAAATGTTAAAAATAAGCAGCCTAAACATGTAGGTTATTCATTACAAACATGTAGATTATTCTCGCAACGTACAGCTATTGTCGAGTTACATAGCAAAAGCAACCTTAATTTTTAAATTTGTGGAATGCCGTTTGTATTTATACTATCGAACTTATAAAGTCACAAGTGAAAGAATTATCACTTATTTACTGAAACCGAGGGAAACAGTGTGTTTTGTGGACCCGAGACCGCCGTTGTTGCCCGAGGCGAAGCCGAGGGCAACAACGGCGGTCGAGGGGCCACAACACACACTGCTTTCCCGAGATCTCAGTAAATAAGTGTTTTGATATATAGTATATAAGTGTCAAAGTATGAATAATTCACTGGTTATTGGAGTGAACTTAATTTGAGACCAAAACTGGATAAATGGAACGCCGTAAATGTTTAGTAAAAAGTTTAAAAAATGAACTTTGGAACTTCATGGTTGACACGCATGCGTATTGCATCCATTTTATTATTGATCGGTCAATAAATGTTTCACTTTGAACCGGTTGCTGAGCATGACGTTTTGTGTACCGGCACGTGATACGGTTTTGACCAATCGGCAAACAGAAAAATGGAACTTTGACACCAACTATATAACAATAATATTTGTTATATATCACTGAGCTGTATAATAACTGGAGGACCTGCTCCTTTACTTCGTACAGTCAACGAAGTGTCGCCAAAAACATGGCGGATTTTGACGAAAAATGACGCCATTTCCATGACTACTGACAGGGACGCCGGAACGATAATAGGGCAAAGGGGGGCGGACGCACACCAAGGGAACCTTTACTTTACCCCCTCCCCCCCGTCGCCAAAAAAATTTCGGTCAGTGTACCATTTTAGGGGTCAAAAAATTTTTCCGGACATACAAAAATTTTCCGTGAAGCCGAAAATTTTTCCGGATATCTTAAATTTTTGCCAATTCTTCAAAATATTTTTCTAAATTCCAAAAATTTCCCAAAATTTTTATAAATATAAACTATAAATTACCTGAATCTCGTGATTTTCCTACAAAAAGCATCGTTGGAAATGTGATTTATCACGTATTATTTTACAACTAAAAGGGCACTTCTGCCCCCCTTGCCCCCCCCTAGCAAAAGGCAAGGGGGGCAGCCGCCCCCCCTGCCCCCCCAGTTCCGGCGTCCCTGACTACTGATCCATAAATTCATGGTAATTGCAACTGAACAAGACTCAATTATGAGCCCGCCATAGTTTTCATCCCACCCCCCATGGTTTTTATTAAAACAATTTCGGCTTTTTGCAGTGAATTTGATATTTTCGACAGATTTTTTCGACGGTTGAATATTTTTTCAAAGATGTGGAAGCCGTACACGTTAATTCTTATCCGTGGAGCGCGAAAGACAACAAACAACTATTAAAACCTCGTCAAATGTGGGCAAAAACGATACAGTCGATACTTCATGCAAGCCAGAGCAAACAGCCGTATTTATCACACTATTAAATTAATATTAAACAGGTATTTATAAATATTTTAAAATGCACATTACTATTTTAAATATTTCATTAAAATGAATGTTATAAATATACGGTAGAATGTACTCTATTTTTTTAGAAAATAAGCCACGAGTATTTATAATGTGGTTGTAGACGAACCACTTAATTTTAAAATATAATAATTTCATCTCTCAATCCCAAGGAATGGTTGTACATGTATATGAATTTGACAAATATTTGACATGAAACTATGATGTGCTAGTATATTAAGAGGAAAGTAAGGTTTCATAAATTTAGCCAAGACGGGTTTTGTTATGCATGAGCTTGTGGTGAACTGGTGCAGGACAAAGCTCTGCTGATCTGCGAATGCATGTTTTGCCCGAGGTTGTATATTGTGTGCTCTCTGATAGTTTAATTGTTGTATGTATCTTTAAAAGACCATGCATTAACTTGTTTGCCCCATCCCTATGAGTATTGGGTTAATTGACTCAAGTGCTGGCTGCTGGCATATTTCTGGTGTTCCTGTGGTAAGGGCTGTTAAGCAACAGCTAGGCCAGTATAAGCAAGACCTCACTGTGTGGTTACCATCTTTATAGCTGAAATTCCTTTCAATTTGGATAGACAACATGACTGGCTCAGTTTTTCAGATCTCACATGAACAAGGCAAGCTCTCAGTTACACCGGGAAGATATTTTGTGGCTATAAACACTGACTTGGTCAAAATAAAGTCAAAAACACAAAATTGGTCATCAAAATATTGTCAAAACAATAGAATTGTGTTGGCAAGGAAATGATGAATTATTCTCGGCCAACCAGGCTAGCCTATCTTCCATATTGATAGCCCCTATGGCTATAATCTATTCTTGTTTATTGCAGAATGCTCCCACATTGAGTTCATGCCATTGTTGTTAGTTAAAGTGCCCCTGTCACAAAATGAGAGTTTACATCATTAGAATCGTCTTGAAACGTAGATTATGAAAATACAAAACAGATTTAAAATTGAGCTTGTTTTCACAGAGTAATAAGGCAATGAAATTTGAAAATTTCAAATTTTAACGGCAAAAGTTTTTGAAAACCGCGAAGCTGGGAAATTGGTAACTAATACGTCATAGTAGGAAGACATTGCCTTCTCGCCTAAGTGAAAAGTATATAAATACTAAGTGAAAATCACAATCAAGCTGGTCAAAATTCGATACAAATGTCTTCGTCGAGTTCAGATACGGAAAATAACAGTTACCAAAGCGATGACTGCCTGAAATTATATTCCTGGGCCGTATCAAATCGAGTGAAATCGATGAAAACACCAGTGAAGCGTGGTCAACGTCGTGCGCACAAATGATCGGCGCTGCTTGATCCATATGTTAATGAACCATGCAGTGACCGACGAAGATGGCTCAAACGTTACCGCGAAAAAAAGCAATCAAAACGAACGTCTTAAGCAATTACAACAAAGGCTTGATAAAGCCCGTTCAGAAGAATTGAGTAAATGGTAAATATTTCACTCTGATTTTGTTGCGTGACTTGACCTTGTGTTGTAAATTACAAACTATAATATTTCATGTGTAAACGTGGCAATTGTCGCATTGAACTGCTTCGTAAATTATGCTAAAGAGTGTCAATGTTGTATGGAAATTGAGGAGTGCGTCGATTCTCTACACAATGACATTGTGATTTCTGATGCAAGAAGCTGAAGTCGCGCCATCATGAAAAATTCAACAGCTATGGCTAGATAAGTGCATGAGCTCTCCGTTCAGCAGCCACGAAATTACGAACAAGAAAGAAACAGGAATACCGTCAAACAAGCACAGAAGATAGGTAAATAAAGTTTTATTTATCAACATATTGAAATTAAGAAACACTTTACCGTACCCGAGTTTACTATCAGTGAACACACGCATGCGGTACGGTAACTGAGAGTTTATATACGGTACATACTGTACAATTATTGAATTATTATATATTTACATGTGTTCACATGCAAGTAAGCGACTTATTAAAAATACTTATAAATTAATTTATAGATTCTGAAGGAGCACAGATATAGAAACTTTGTGTGGATGGTTTATGGACAACTAGGAAATAGACATTTTTGCGCATATATGAGAAAATAGTGCCTGCTGTTGATGAAGACTTTGTAGGATTTGTAGAGAACAGCTCTTGATATTATATAACTATTTTTCAATAAATTAGTACACTGTATAAACGTGGTAATATTATACTGTATTGCGTATAGAAACAGCACATTTGCTATATTCATGACTTCAATATTGTTTTGCCAAAGAGACTGAAATTTGAGACTAAGATTTGTATCTGATATTTTTCTGCACTTCGTGCGCGCGGGTTAATTTGTACAAAGTGTTGCAGCACGTTTAGGAATTTTTCTGACTTGTATTTCGTTCCAGGCACTGCCTTGTACTATAGCAAATGTGGCAATGACTAAGTTATTTCATTAAGTTGCTTCAATGGATTATACTATGTAATACATTTTATATACACCCCCGCAGTGTATCTGGGTTTGCCACCATTTGTTACAAAATCTGCATATTGTACGGGTTTTCACTGCGGTGCAAACACAACGAGTGTATATAATTATGTATAATTTACTGCGTCAAGTTTACTTATACGTACAATTCTACTTTCCCTGTCTAAACTAGAATACAAACAGTGCACATTGCTTGTAGACGTACGAAATTGGCTTTCATCCGCTATATTTTGACCATATTCACTCATAGTCATAGCTATATTGTCGCAATGTCGCGATATTTTATATTTCTGGTGACTCCATTGGCTGTAGCTCATTTATATTTATCGCGCTTTCCAGTTTCGTGACTATGACCATATCGGTTGACTGCATCGAAGCAGCTTCTAAATACAACCTATTCAAATAACGAATTTGGAATAAAAATTGCACTAGGCCATATTCAAGTGCATGATAAACGAAATTAGAGTATAAATTATACATATACCATTCTCTTGGCTCTCGCAGACAAAGGTTTGTCGTCGACAGTATTTGTATATTTTGGAATTGCAACGAAACCAATTTCGTCGGTAGCTAATCGTGGTTTTACCAGCAAGCTCTATCTTCGCAAGGTATGCTGAACATTGGATCTCATATTGCTGGTTTAAGGTGCACGAAGTCAATCCGTGTCCTTTTCGCTTCGGGCCTCTCGTCTCCAGTAAAAGGTATAAAATGAAGTGAAATGCCTTACTCTGTATCTGTGACATTAGAAACAACCGCCTACTACACATATATTCGGCAATTTTTCAGTTTCGTGACTTTTATTTACGCTATTGCCTGCTCTATGATAGTACATGCAATAGTATTTCTATATTAGTGAGCTACATAAGTTCCTAC